GTGTGGTTGTGTGGGTGTGGGGGGGGGGGGGGCTGAAAAGATGTGCACTCATCTATCCATAGCGATCAGTATTTATTGAAGTTAAAAGCAGTATACAAGTGGAGCCCATTGCAGTTAAGGTTTCCTCCTTGAGGCCAGAACCGTTCAGGCTTAATTTTTTTTTTTTTTTTGTATTCATTATATGCACTGAGAGCATCCCCATCTCCACACTGACCGGCCTGGATGGTCCTCAGCAGGAGGGAGAGGATCAAATGGGGGTGGAATTAACTTCAACTCCCCAGTGGGACACACTTCAGGCTTTTAAAGTCGTAAGGGGAGAGCTTCTATTGTCCCAAGCGTTACCATGACAGCAGTCAGGGGGTCTGTTGCCATGGAGACTGTGGGGGGGATCTCATGATAAACACCTGAGAATTAACTAGAGAGACCTTTTCAACTATTTTTTTTTAATCCCTCCTTGCTTGAAATGTTTACTTTTTTGTCATGGATTGTAGGGAAAAAAAGCTTGCAGGGTCCTATGGCTGGAGCAAAAAAATAAAATACTTCAAACTTATTTTTGCCCTTTTTTTTTCCTCGTGTGAGCAATCTTTCGAGGAAACTAAATGAATAAGGAAAATTAAAAGACAATCTAATTGCAACAACAATTTAAAATCTCATTAAAATTCCAGGTTAGATGATCCATTTCTGTTGTATTTGTATTAGTCTTGAGCCCTTAAAAATAAACTCTTTTTCCTGGATTCCATTTTGCGGAGTTTTCTCTATTCCCATCTCTTTTGTCACAGTAAAATTGCATTCGACACAGCTGGAAACTCGGAAGTTTCGTGCGTGTGTGTGTTTAGAGTGACAAAGTTGAAGGAGACTCTCTTGAGAGTGCAGCAACTGGACAAAAACATGAGCAACCTCCGATCGTGGCTTTCACGCGTGGAGGCCGACCTGTCCAGGCCCATTACCTACAGTATTTGTCATCACCAGGAGATACAGAGAAGGCTGGCTGAGCAGCAGGTAGCGCACGCACACCATATTCCTTGACCGTCTTTTAGATTAATCATGAATTGAGATAACTCCATTGTTTGATTTTGGAAGGGGTTGGCCCACGCGGCCGTCGAGGTCTTTCTAATGCGCGCGCGTCGGTAGGCCTGAAGCAACGTCTGCCGCCGATGTGCTTTATTCAGGAGCTGCAACGGGACATCGAGCAGCATACGGAAGGCGTCACCTCGGTCCTCAACCTGTGCGACCTTTTGCTGAGGGACGAAGACGCCGCCGGCACCATTGAGGCGGAAAGTGACTCCCTGCAGGAAACCAGTCATAGCCTGGACCAGCGCTGGAGGACCATCTGTGCCATGTCTCTCGACAGGCGACTCAGGTGGGAATTCAAGTAGAGCATCTTTGTATCAGTCAGTGCAGAAACCAACAACAAAAAAAAAAAACATTAAAAATGTTGGGAAGAAAAAAACAATCCATGAGTACAATGTCACTCTATTTTAAGCATTGATCCCTTCCTCCACCAATGTAGGATTGAGGAAACATGGAGACTGTGGTGCAAGTTCCTGGAGGACTATTCGCAGTTTGAGGATTGGCTCAAGACGGCGGAGAAGACCGCCGCCAACCCCAACTCGGGAGACGTTCCTTACGCTGTTGCCAAGGAGGAGCTGAAGAAGTTTGAGGCAAGTTGAGGAGAGGACTCGCGTGTTTGACGCAACGTTTCCAATTGGGTCTCATTAGAATGAACAGTTTCGGATAAAACGTCGTCATCGCATAACGGTACAATATCTTTCAGAGGTTCCAAAGGCAGTTGCATGAGAGGCTGACCCAGCTGGAGCTGCTCAACGAGCAGTACCGCCGGCTGGCCCGCGAGAACCGGACCGACGGCGCCGGCGAGCTCCGCCTGCGGGTGGACCGGGGCAACCGCCGGTGGGACGACCTGCGGAGACGGGCGGCGGCCGTGCTGCGACGACTCAAGGTGACCTCCCTCGCGCCGACGACCGCTCTCGTGGGGGGGGCGGCGAAATCTGTTGACGGGCTGACATTTGGCCAACGGCAAACGCGACGACGTTTTTACTCAGCGGTCAAAAATGGATTCCGTGTCGGTCTGGAATCCGTTTTTGAATTGCACATTTTTAATCTGTTTTCCAAAATGAAAGTAGTCGTGCGGTGAGCCGCCGTTGCTCATCTCGTCGCCTCAAAGCGTGCACGCTGAGCGCTCTCTTCACGGGAAATGGCCGCGCGTGCGGTCGAAACGGTTCCTCGGTCGGCTGCGAGAGGGGCCGCCGAACCGGAGCCCAAAGGAAAACCCATTTGAGGAGAGGCTCCGTTTTCCGATCCGCTCGACGCGGTTGACCTTTTGAGCGAGGCGGCGTCCGGCCAGCGGCGCCTTTACCGCCTGACCTCGAGCCTCGCTTAGCGCGGCCGGAGGAAGCCGTTGCGGCGCAGCAAAAAGCCTTTCCGCAGGAAGGAGCCAACCTGCTCTCTGGCTAATCCCAGCAGGATGCGATACCATCAAATGGCTCTTTTCTCTTTTCTGCCTGCCAGACGCGCACGCACGCACGCACGCACACTCACACGGTTTCTTTTCTTTTTTTTTGGACCCGCAAAGGTGGATTTGAGGCCGTTGGTTGTTGAACTCGTTTCACCTTGAATTCAAAAGGCTTTTTCCCCCTGAAATTGTGGGTGTGGACTTTCCCTCCTTCGATCTCCGGTGGGGGAGGGGCGGGATCCCGCATGACATGGCCACGTGATGGGAGGAGTCAACTTGACCTCGAACTCGGACTTTGCGGGACAGGCCACACATTTCTTTTTCTTTTCCCCTCTGGGGTCCGTGACTGCGGGGCGACGGGACGAACCTCTCAAGAGCCGGATTGATACGCGACCGCTCCGCTGCCCTCCGCTCGGGCGATACTTGGCGCCGATCGAGCGACTTGTGCGCGGCCATCAAATGGAGCTTTTGACCACTCCCGGCAACGGACGAAAACGCCGTCCGTCTCCTTTTGACCGGCCCAATCGCCTTCTGGCGATGATCGGCGCTCGCGGCATTGAGCGGCCGCTGTCGTTTTTGGAGCGGAAAGACGCAGACCGTTGGGCTCGGAGCGGATGGGCGGCCTCGGCCGCCGGACGGATTCTCGAGGTTTTGCGAACTCGCCAACAGCACGAGAATTGGAACATTTTGGGAGCCCTCCCGCTCGAAGAGAGGTCACCTTCCTCAAATCCCGAACCACGTCTTTGCTTTTCGCCGTCGGCCTCGAGACAAGACCGGATCGTTGCCAGCGGCCGCAAAGGGACGGCGCGAGGCAGCGCCGCTGCTTTTCTTTCTCGCGCGGCTTCCTTTTTGCCGACTCGGGTCCCAAAGAGGCGGCCCCTCGCCCCTCGCCCCTCGCGCTGCCGCCACAGAGCCAGCAAATAGGGAGGCTCCGCGGCCGAACGCGAGCAAGAAGATGAACGTCTCCAACAAACCCGGCGGACGCAGTGAGCTCGAGCCGACAGTCGCGGGACGGCTGAGAACCGGCGGAGCCGTGTCGATGATGTCGACGTTGTTGTTGTTGTTCAGCACCTGACGTCGCAGAGGGAAGACTTTGAGGGGAGGCGCCAAGGCATCCTCGCGTGGCTGACGGAGATGGACTTGCAACTCACCGACGCGGAGCACTTCTCCGACAGCGACGCCGAGGACAAGATGAGGCGGCTGAAGGTAGCGCGGGCCCGACGGCCGCCGCCCGGCCTCTCGCCGCCCCCGAAGCAAAGCGCCTTCGTGCTTGTCGCGCAGGCGTTCCGGCACGAGATCACGCTTAACGCCGGCGAGATCGACGCCCTGATCGTCTCCGGGGAGAACCTGATCCGGAAGAGCGCCCCCCTGGACGCGGCGCTCATCCAAGACCAGCTGGAGGAGCTGCACTCGTATTGCCAGGAAGTCTTTGGCCGCGCGGCGCGTTTCCACCGCCGGCTGCTCCGTCGCCGGCTGGTCAGATCACGGGCGACGTCAAGCGCTTGCGCGCGCTCCCTCGGCTTCTAACGTCCGTCTCGCCGCAGAATGAAGTGCCGGAGGAGGAGGAGGAGCGAGAGGGAGAGGGGGAGGAGCTGCCGTCGGACCAAGCGAGTGGCCCGCCGTCTCCCGTCAAGGACGCGGGCGAACGGCGGGCCTCGCGCCAGCCGCCGCCTCCGGACCTCTCCGGCGGAAGAGAGACGCCCGTCGGCGTGGACTCCGTCCCGCTGGAGTGGGACCACGCGGTGGACGTGGGAGGGTCCTCGTCGCACGAGGACGGCGAGGATGCCGAAGAGGCCGCCTTCTTCGGCGCCCCGTCAGGTAACGGTCCCCGCGCGCTCAAAAACGTTGCTTTTTTGACCACCTCCACTCCAGGATTTCGTTTTCCGGTCGAAAAAAAATGTGGAGAGGCCGGCGGGGAAAAAACATGAAGCGTTCATGACCGCCGCGCGCCACATCTGCACAAGCAACACTCGCGCAATCGTTGTCACATGGCTTGGGCAGTCCATTTGATTGGCCGAGGCGCCGCAAAAGCAGTCGTTTCCGCTCCGAGGCCTCCCAAACGGCGGGGCTCCTTTTCATGGCATTCCCATGCGTGCGTCTTCTGCAGCGATGCCGGCGAGCGACGCGGCGGGCCGCCGC